TTTTTTAAAAAAATTTTAGCTTGTTCAACTGGAGCAATTTGTCCTGTTGGTTATTACTGCATTAATGGATTTTGTGTTCGAAATGCTCTAACATCAACTTTTGGTTAAACTTTTAATATTTTCAAATTTCTTCCTCTGCTTTTTAATTAGTTATAGATTTTAGTAATAATAATTAAATGTGCTTTTTAATTAGTAATACACACTATTTTAAGGAAGTAACAAGTAAAATTGAAATGAAATTAAAATTTTTCGTAATGAAATTAATTTTACAATCAAATTAGCATTATGTATGATTTTATTTCAACACTTAAAAAAAAGAAATCTTTTCTAATATCAATCATTAAAATATTTCCATTCATTTTGGAAATATTTTAATTTGAACAATATATAAAACTATAATTTGTGATGAATATGTTTATCTCTTAATTTTATTACTATGAATACAATCAATTGAATTATTAATTTTATTTTACCAAAAAAAAAAACAAACAAACAAACAAACAACAAATAATAGGAAAATAATTAATAATAAATAACTTATAATAATAATAATAATAATAAAAGAAAAATTCTGTAACATAAAAATTTTTTTTATATTTTGTCAAGTTTTCTTCTTTTTTCTGTCATTTGTAACGTTATACTTTATAAAATTGTGCATTTTTTAAATATGTTTAATTAAGCTTAAAATTTTTTTAAACTAAATTATAGTTCAATTTTAAATTTATAGCATGTTCACATGGTATGTGTCCAACAGGAATGACATGCTATATGGGACGATGTACCAGTTCCAGTTTTCTTGGAAGATAATTTAGCAGTATATCAGGATGATCCGGTATATCAGTATAACAGTTCAAAGACTATCATTATCAATCACAAAGATCAAAGAATTTCACATCAATTTCATAATTCATAAATAATTAAATTTAATATTTCATTAATAAAATTACATGTTAAATTGTTATTCATATTACATATAAATGAATTATTTCAAAATCCACAAATATTCTCGATCATTTTGCTCTGGAACTGAATTTGCATAAGAATTTTCAGCAGTTTGTAAAATTTCCACAGATGGAATATTTAATTGTGTCGATGATATCAATGGTTTTTGTGTGTATGTTTTAGATGAAACAACTGGAATCAATCCTTAAATGAAAACAATAAATAAATAAAAAAGTTCAAAGTTCAAATAATGAACATTTTATTCTGAAAGTAAAATTTGTTGTGAAATATTTCTTTTTTTAAAAAAAAATAAATTAAAGTTGTTATTTTGAAATGATTTATACAATGACAAACCTGGACAATGTGAACAACTGCCAGGAAATCCAGGTTCACCTGGTACACCTGGTGGACCTGGTAGTCCAGGATCTCCTGGAGGTCCTCTTTCTCCGCCTGAACCTCGTACACCTTGATTTCCTGGTTGACCTGCTTTTCCATCATGTCCTAAGAAATTAACTTTAGATAGAATATCATAAACTTTAGTATAATGTGGTCGGTCAGTTGAGAAAAGATCACTTGAATAGTTTATAAATATAATACTGAAAATAAAATTGCAAATCTTTTTTTTTTTGTTACCTTTACCACCGGGTGCTCCTCGTGGACCGATACGTCCTGGTGGACCTGTTGGACCAGGTGGTGCTCCATTTAATACTCTACCTCGATCACCCTCTGGTCCTTTCGGTCCAGGAGGTCCTGGTTCTCCACGAAGTCCTGGTGGTCCTCGTGGTCCAGGTCGATTTGGCTCTCCGGGTTTTCCTGCTTTTCCAGGTGGTCCAGGTTTGCCACGTTCTCCTTTTGGACCCGGGAAACCAGGTGGTCCTGGTGCACCTGGTGGACACTGAAATTTTATCTTGCTCTAATGAAGTTGCAAAATTTATGAAAATAAAAGCAAAAAATTACTTCAAAATTTTCCATTAAAATATTCTTATATTGAATTTATTTAATTAAAATATTAACATTGTTATTAATTTGAGTGAATTAAATCAAAGTGTCACATTTTTTTTGTAAAATAAAATTTAATTGACTTTTTGACAACTATTTGTGCCTGGTGGTGGAGCAGGAAGGTATACACCATTACGTCCATTACTACCATCTTTACCTGGTTCACCGTTTTTTCCTGCAATATTAATCAAATACTCAAATATTAACACATTTTAAATTTAATTTTATCATCCCAATTTAAATTAATGAAAAAAAAATTTTTTTTTAAAAAGATATTTTACTTTTTTTAAAACTTTAATAATATTTTTGCTAATTAATTTAAATCAAATATAAATTTTTGACATATCAGTATACTTAAAAATTTAATATTCATTATTAACGATTATTATTATTAAACCACAAAAAGAAAAGAATAGATATTTTGTGATAATTACCTGGTATACCATCTTTTCCAGGTGGTCCTCGAGGTCCTGGTAATCCTTGTGAACAAGCACAACATGCATCACTTATAAAAGTACTAGGTAAATTGAAATTGTTAGAACGAGATTTTCGAATTTTATTACCAACCAAAGCTATTTGCTTCCAAATATCACCTGATTGAGCCTTTAAATAATTTATGAATAAATTAATAATTTTGTATGTGATTTTAATTAAAAGAGTAATTTTTGTATAAGATTTTAATTTAAGAAAAAAAAAGAGTATAAAATATTGAAATTATCTAATTTTTATACATTAAATCTTGAAGTGTTATTTTCTTTTTACCGAAAAGAAAAAATTTATAAAATATTCCATTTCTTCGATGAAGTATTTTTAATTATTATTATAATTTCATATTCCTATTATTATTTCATTTCTGCCTTTTTTTTTAAAATTAATTTCTCTTTTAATTAATATGAATTTTTTTTCTTGTTTATCATTTCATAAACAAATATTTACAGTTTTTGTTTTCTTTTTAATTCTTACTAAAATTTCATAGATAGTAGTTTTTAAAAAATTTTGTTATTTTTTAAAATCTAACAGTACTTTTTCCATTTTAAATTATTGATTACTTAAATTTTATTTAAGCTTTTCTCTTTTTTTTTATAGTACATAAAAGAATAATTTATTGCAAAATTTTGAGTAAAAAAAAATAATAATTTTTCAAACTGAATTAAATATATTTTATTCATAATTATTATTAAATCGATTATTCTAATTTTTTAATTAATTAAATAAAAAGAAATACTACAAATATAAATTTTAATATTATACATACCTTGCATAATTCAACCTGTGAAAGTAGTGTTGATATTACTTCTTGGCTACGAAAATGCATTAATGGTAATAAAATTACAACACTTAAAATGCATATTGTTGAACATCCGGTTGCTATTACGGTTGCTTTCCGTGTTGCCAGTATACTCATCCGTATGTAATAATTAAATTAAATATTTATACAAATTCAACAATTAGAAAATTTAATAAATTTACAAATTTTATTTTTATAACAGTTACTAATGAATGAAATAAAAATTTTCATTTTATTGTAATAATTAATAAATGACAAAAGTAAATAAAATGGATTTTTTTAAAAAAAAAATTTTTTTTTGAATTAATATTGAATATAAAAAATTATTGCAATTAATTGCCAATTAATTTAGTAATTATTTTATATTTTTTAAAAGAAATTATTGCGATTAATTAATTGCTATATAATTTAGTAATTATTTTATATTTTCTAATTTGATTAATTTTTGGTCATTGTGCAATTAAAATTAAAATAAAATTAAGAAATTAAAATTTGCAAAATATTTCTGCATTTTCTTATTATTAATTCTTAAAAAGTATTTAACTTTAAAAAGTAAAGTAAACTGTTTAATTAATTGAAATTTATGATATTATATGATTGAATGAGTGAACACTTTTAAAAATATTTAACAGTAAACACTAAATATTATCTTTTGCTTTTTTCATATTTTTGAAATAATAAAAATTTGAAAATTTTATTTTTATTTTAATTTTTTTCTTCTTTTTTTTTGCAATATTTCAATGAACTAAAAGATTATTAGAATATCAATAAGATAGAATTATGTGAATAGTTATTGTAAATTATTCATTATTATATTAATTACATTATTCTTATTAATTTATTTTATATTAATTTAATTAATTTCAAAAAAAAAAACTGAAAAAATGAAGTAAAATAAAAAGAAATAAATGGGAACGATTGGAAATGTTTAGAAGTAATTTTAATTTCAATTACAAATATATAGGATAGAAAGAAAGAAAACGAAAAATGATGTCAATAACCTTTTATTTGCTCCGTTAAAATTACATTTCTATTTCACATTTATTAGTGTTTCTTTTTAATTTTTTGATTAAATAAATTTTTTGTAAACAAAATTAATTTCATTAATTTGTAATATTTTTTAGTGTTAATTCTCATTTCAATCAATGTAATGAATTTTCAATCTAATAAATATAAAATATTCCTTTTTTCAATCATTTCATAGTAAAATCTTTTTAATAAAAATTAGAATTTGCATATTTTTGAATGCTCTAAATTTTTACTTATATTAAAGAAAAATGTAAAATAAATCAAAAAAAAAAAAAAAACAAATATAACTAATATTAATCAGAAATTATTTGAAAATGCAATGTTATATTTAATTATGATGCAGTTTAAAATATCAATCTTTGAATTCAAATTTTAGACAATTAATTATTCAATTAATTCATTTACATCTATCATCCATTAATTAAATTATTGATAAAATCATTAACAAAATGATTACTTAAAAAAATATCACTAATTTGAGGATGAATAATGATATAATAATAATAATAATAATAGCAATTAATTAGTTTTAATTATGATGCATCGATAGAAAAAGCAAAATTATCCTATCAAATAATCAATAATTAAATATCCATAAACAAATAATTAAAATTAAGCAAAAAAAAAATAATTATTATTATTTGTTAATAATTAATTTATTACATTCAAATAATTGTAATAATTACTAAACATTGTTTATTAAGAAATAAACAGAGCAATTTTCAACTTTTAATTAAAACTATTATACTGCATCAGCTTGAAAGTATGCACAATTTTTTTGAAGTATATTAGAAATAAGCACCACCGTTGGTAATTGTTCATCAGATAAATTTTCAAAACGTTGAAAATTTCGTTCATACTCATTCGATGTAATAATTTCATCTTTGAGCAATTTTTTCATGACCTAAATTAAGTTTTTTTTTTTTTGTTTAAAAAAAACTGCAAAGATAAATTTTGATTATTTAAAAATTAAAATGATAAAATTTTAGGACAAATATTGGTGGTGATAATGAATGATAGTGATTAATTACATTTGCTTATTCGATAAGATGAAAGATAAAAGTACTAAGAATTATTTTGAGCAAAAATAATAGTAATTAAAAAATAATAATAATAGGTAATTACTTTTATAAAAATCCTAATGAATTTTTAATTTACGACAAATATTTTCATTTTATAACTAATAAATAGTTAAAGTTTAAAAAATTTACATACATTTTTGATTAAATCTCTGCTTATTACTAATTGTCCAACTGCAATAATTAAATGATTTGCAAAATTCTTTGGATTACTATCCATTTGATCACGATTCTCTGCTAACCAATCAAATGCTTCCTTGAAAAATAAAAAAGAAAAAAGAAATACCATAAAATTAAAATTATTTTTCCAAAAGTGTCTTTAATTCATAATCTATAATTTAATTCAACATTGATAAATAATTTTTCAGTAAGTATTAGTGAAAAAATTTTGAAAATTTTCTTTCAGTATTATAAAAAAAAAATAATTTTGACTGTTATCATAACCAATAATAATAATTTAAATTAGTTAAACATCAAAATACGCAGTTTGGATTGCTACTACAACTAGTAATAATAATAACAATATTAATATTCAATAATAATAATAGCAATAATAATAACAATGATAATAATAATAATTAATAATAATAACAATGACAATAATAATAATTAATAATAATAACAATGATAATAATAATAATAACAAGAACAAAAATAATAATAATTTAAATTAACAAAGTATAAAAATGTAGATATTTTATATTTTTTGAATTTACAAGAATCAGAATAAATTTTTCAGAATTAACTTTTTCTTAAATTTATATCATAGATAATTATGACTATAACATAACATACTCTATTATTATTATTATTATAACTATAACATACTCTATTATTATTATTATTATAACTATAACATACTCTATTATTATTATTATTATTATTATTATTATTATTATTATTATTATTATTATTATTATTATTATTATTATTATTATTATTATTATTATTATTATTATTATTATTATTATTATTATTATTATTATTATTATTATTATTATTATTATTATTATTATTATTATTATTATTATTATTATTATTATTATTATTATTATTATTATTATTATTATTATTATTATTATTATTATTATTATTATTATTATTATTATTATTATTATTATTATTATTATTATTATTATTATTATTATTATTATTATTATTATTATTATTATTATTATTATTATTATTATTATTATTATTATTATTATTATTATTATTATTATTATTATTATTATTATTATTATTATTATTATTATTATAACTATAACATACTCTATTTCGCTGCTGAATATTAATACGTTCCATTATTGAACCAATTCGAAGAATTTCATTAATATTTACCTTTGCTTTCCTATTTTTTAATTTAGATTTAACCATCTCACTGATAATTACCTAAAATTGAAGTTACATTCAAAGTTCAAAAAAGAAAAAAAAAAAGAAGAAATAAGAAAATATAAAGATCACAAATTTCACTGATAAATTATAATTATAAAATATTCAATTAATTTACTTAACACAACCAATTACAACCGTTTCAATATTAACTAAAATTGGCAATGAATAAAATACAAAATATTTTGGATTTTTTTAAAGTTACAATCAAATTAATTTTGAAAAATTTAACACAATTTAAAAACTAAAAAATAAGTAAAAAGCAAAAAATGCAGTCATAATAATAATAATAATAATAATGGTTAATGATAATAATAATTAATAATAATAATAATAATTAATAATAATAATAATAGTTAATAATAATAATTAATAATAATAACAATAATAATAATTAATAATAATAATAATAAATAATAACAATAATAATTAATAATAATAGTTTAATTCAGATATTGTAGAAGATTTTTTGCTTCAAAACACTAATGATTATACCATTTAATATTTATCGAAAATTTTCTCAGACTATTTATGGTAACTCATTAAGTAATTTTATTACTTCTATATTCTTTAAAATAAATAAATTTGCCAACTGTTTCGAAAAAAATTGCAAAAAAAAAAGTTTAAAATGTGAAAAATACCATAAAGAATTAATTTGAATTAGAAAAATGAAATTGATATAAGCTAAAAAGTGAGCTAAATTATATAAATTTAAAAGTATTATTTTTTAGCATATTCTTTAGTATAATATTTATTATATTTATTACTCTTTATAATATTTATTATATATCTATTATAATATTTATTAATAAACATTCAATAGATAAAATCATCATAATGATAGATAAAATATCATCATAATAATAAATAAAAGATTATCATAATAGTAGATAAAATCATCATAGTGATAGATAAAATATCATCATAATGATAAATAAAAAATTATTATAACAGTAGATGAAATTATCATAATAATAAATAAATTAGCTGATAAAAGATTAGGACAAAACTTTGCGAAATAAGCAAAAACTTATTTAAAATTACAAATTATAAAGATTACAAAATTATAAAACTTAGATTTTGAATTTTGATTATAAAGATATCAATACAAAATAACATACGAATGATAAGTAACACTACTATCTTCTTTTTTCTTTAGATTTAAAACTTAAATAGCTTGAATCATATATCTTACTGATAAAGTATATTCTTATCATATTCTTATCTTCCAAAGAATTAGTTCAAAATTTATTTTACATTAATATTTTGAAATATAATTTTTCCTCAGTTAAATTAGATAAACTAATAAAAATTTGCTATAAAATTTAAAAGAAATATCAGTGTGAACTAATTTGCTTTAAGGTTTTCGTTTTTCTCTCATATTAGCATACATTTTCAAATTATTATTTGATTAATTAATAAAATAAAATTTGAAAATAAATTATGCAAAATTGATTTCACGAATATAACAATTATTTATTTTAAAATTTAACGATTACAAAATGTGTCAAATAGTAAAAGCTAAAAGAATAAATAAATTTAAAAAAGAAAACACTGTAACAAATTGAGAGATATTAGAGATTGAAAGGAAATAAGAGAATGCGTTAAGAATTTTTACGCAAATAGCATAATAGCTATGACATTTTGATAAATACTTTTGTTGTAAAAGTAATGGAAGTAAAAAATAATTAATAGTTAAAAGATTGGATAAATTGAATTAACTGTAATTAATAATTGTAATCAATAATCTTAAAAATAATTATTTAAGTAAAATTATAAATGTTAAGTTTTTTTTTTTTAATTTTTAAAATGTTTTTCGTACAAACTTAAATTTACACTTATTATTTGCTTATACAAGTAGTCATTCACTATTGTTTCATTTCTTTAACACATTTTTAATTTGATACTTTTAATTAAGTTTTAAAAGGAATGTTTGCTCATCGCAGTGATATTTTGCATACGGTATTTGCTACCTTCGTAGTCGTATAATTCGTACGTGTTAATGATCGTTTATACGTAGCAATGATGTAGTATTACTAGCCGCATTCGTAAGTGTCGATAATGTTATGTTAGCTTCATTCGTACGTGATAATGTTATGTTGTTAGCTTCATCCGTACGTGATAATGTTATGTTGTTAGCTTCATCCGTACGTGATAATGTTATGTTGTTAGCTTCATTCGTACGTGATAACGTTATGATGTTAGCTCCATTCGTACGTGATAATGTTATGTTGTTAGCTTCATCCGTACGTGATAATGTTATGTTGTTAGCTTCATCCGTACGTGATAATGTTATGTTGTTAGCTTCATTCGTACGTGATAACGTTATGATGTTAGCTCCATTCGTACGTGATAATGTTATGTTGTTAGCTTCATCCGTACGTGATAATGTTATGTTGTTAGCTTCATTCGTACGTGATAATGTTATGTTGTTAGCTTCATTCGTACGTGATAATGTTATGTTGCTAGCTTCATTCGTACGTGATAATGTTATGATGTCAGCTTCGTCTGTCCATGATGATGCCGTGATGTTAGCTTCATTCGTACGTGGTGATATTACGATGTTAGCTTCATTCGTACGTGGTGATATTACGATGTTAGCTTCATTCGTACGTGATAATGTTATGTTGTTAGCTTCATTCGTACGTGATAATGTTATGTTGTTAGCTTCATTCGTACATTCGTACATGTGGTGTTTCATGTAGGAAATTGATGGGGAATGTCTGCAAATATGCAATACAATCTAGAAATTCTAGAAGTGATCTGAAAGAATTTCGAGATAGACGGAACGAGACGGTATTAAGTATTACTTTACATAATTCATTATCGGCGAGTTAAAAAAAAAAGCTTGGGGAATATTTTCAAGATTTCGAGAGATTTCGTTATTTGTGAATTTGATGACAGTACAGTTTCTTAAAGTAATGATAATTACTAATGTAATTGTTTCATTAGTTTTACAATGAATTTATCTAATTGAATTTTATTGCCGTACGATGTTACTGTCTCAGTGAAGAGATTTTATGATGATTTTGAAAGTATGAAATGAAAGAAAGGGAAATTTTTTGATTAGTCCAAAGCATTAATATTTTGTATGGAAGCTTAGTAAACATAAATGTTATCTGAGAATTATCTCATATTTTTCTCTTCTTTTTTTGCATATCATTTGACTGTATTTAGTCGTTGTAAAATTATGATGACTCGTAAATGTATATCTCATTGTTTATTAACTGTAATGTTAATTATTTTTCGTGTCGGAATTGTAATTCATAATTACACTCAAAAAAATATATATATATATATATACATCTTTGTTTGTCGATTTGCTTATTTCTTATAATCCTTTACTTATTATTTGTTGCTATAGAATAGTATTCGTTCGTAGCATAATTTATCATTACGCGTTATTGATAATATTAATCATTTTTTAATGTTTTCATTTGCTTTTCTGCAGGTACTTCTGAATGTAATGGGCAGCAAATTCCCAGAAGTATGGGCAGACGACGAGCAGATGTCTGGACTTATGTCCATGCTAAAGGTATAACACATTTTCAATTTTCCATTTATCAGTAATTTCGGTAAATATGCTACTTGACAATCAATTCAATGTAACAAGTTTGCTTTAACATAAATTATCCGAACTTTCAACATTTTAACAAGTTTATGCTTTAACACTGTGAATCTGACAAACGTATGTAATGGAAAAACTGTTAAAGAAATCCGGAATAAATGTATTTCACATTGTTTCGTCATTATATATGTCAACTTTTTTTTTTTTATTCAGGCACGAGATGTGAATCCAAATGATTATGATCGAAAGATCGAATTTTGGTCCGATATGATTGCAAAATCATGTGATAGTGAGAGAAATGCAATTTTTACTATCGATATATTGAAACGGCGTTTTCGTCGAGGTGACCAGCTACCGGGTTCGCTTAATGTTATTATTCAACATATGCTTGAGTAAGCTTTTCATATGATTGAAATTTTAATATATTGCATATATATATATTATGTTTTTCAATGATAATTTTGCTAAATGGATGGATTCGTTATAGATACAAAAATTTTTCGCAGTGCAGCGTTACTGCTAAATTGGCACATTTAAAATTCGAAATAACTTTTAACACAAATCACATCTTTTTTCACAAATGATATTGACATCACTGATTAAACAGCTATACCTCTATTATGCCTTGTTATTAATACATTGATTACATTGTCGTCTTTATATACTTATTAAGATGACAGATGATTCTTGAAATATCTGCAAATTTTTCTTAGAGGATGTAATAAAACAGATAAATTTGACAAATAATTTAAAATTTTTTAGAACACTGTAATAGATTGTAATCGATAATCACTCTTATCAAAATTACACTGCAATGATCGATTCTAATTGCTAAAATTTGATATATGATAAAGCAAGTTTTTTTTTTTTTCAGTACAGGTGAAATTACCACTTTGGATGATTACAAAACCCGAAATCAGAATTGGCTTCAGCGAGGATACAAATCATTCATGGGAAGTTTGTGGGGTGCTACCAATGATAATCAGACAGAATATGTTCATCTTCCAACTGTTAAAGTAATATCTTTTTTTATTATTAACTTTACTTAGTCCTTTTCAATTACGTCTATATAAATTGGATAATTGTAACATTTGAAAGTTTTCTAGAAACATGCTGACAATATGTTGGAATTTTTCCGAAGTGAATATGCTGTTGATGATGATATGCTACCGGAAATCGTTGATTCGGCAGAATTTTTTGAAGAATGTAAACATTTAGTTGCTAACAAGAAAACTTATGATGTTACACTAGCAGAACTTGTTAATCGAGGCGAAGTTTGTTATTATGGATCTTCTTTTTTTTTTCATTTTATGTTATAAAATGGCAATTATTGTCCATCACAAAAAAAACAAAAATGCTTTATTTTTAACTTTATTTTGATTGCGCAATTTATTGCTTCTGTTTTTGAATGAATAGCCTTTAGAAATTTGTTGTGATTTGTTGAAATTTTCCGTATGTGATCGATAATTCATCTAGTTTATCATTTTCTTTATTTGGCTATTTTTTGTAATCGTAAGTTTACTTGCAGGTAACAATAGGTTCATCTAAAATAGGTGAAGAGATTCTGAAATTTCGTGACAATGCTGCTTATGGTCCTATCAAGTGGACAGAATCTGATGCTAGTGTTCATGATATGAGGCGTGCAATGAGCAAACTAGAACATGAAATTAAACGTTTGGAAATAAAAGCAAAGAAGTAAATTATTTTTAATAATCTGAAAAGTTTTTGTTGCATTATTTTTATTTATTATGAATATTTTTTTTTATGTTAAATTGGTTGTCTTTAATAATTTCTTTTTTTCTTCTTTTTGTTCAGAGCTGAACAAGATGCTCGTCTATACATACGTCAAGGTGATAAGAATCATGCTGCGCAATATTTACGTCAAAAGAAGCGAGCTCTAAAAGAAATTGAATCTAAAGACAATCAATATCAAAGGCTTTTGGAAATGATGCAACAATTAGGACGAACAAAGCAAAATAAACAAATTTTGGATGTATACAAAGCTGGTGCTAATGCTTTTAAAGCTACTTTGCAAAGGCAAGGTATTTCTCCAGAAAAGGTATATTTTTTAAATTAATTCTCTTGTTATTTTCAATTCATTTCAGTTGACTTTTATTACATAATATCATTCTTTAATTTATTTTCTATTCTTTGCTTCCATTTTTTTTTTACCTAATACTTTAGGATATTACTTCTTTATTTGCTCAATTTTTTTTTTTTTTTTTTTGTTTTTATTTGTTATAGATTGATGAAACTATGGATGATATTGATGATGCTATGGCAGCTGCTGAGGAAATTCAAGATGCTATTGCTGCTGGTGTGCCAACATTAGCTGCCAGTGAAATTAATAAAGATCTTGAAGCTGAATTAAATGCTATACTTGCTAGTGACAATAGTGAGATAGATTCAATGATTAAAGATTTGCCAGATATGCCATCAGAAGAACTCTCTACAGCTGGTCCTGCTAAAACTAGTAGTGAAACTGAAGATGATTCAATTGTAGCACGTCTAAAAAGGTTACGTGAACCTGTTTAATCGTTAAATTTTGTCCAATTATTATATTAATGAAATATTTTATTAATTCATAAGCAATTTTGAACAATAGCGATCATATTATCACTGATGCAATTTTATGTAATTTATAATTTTCTCAAGTTGTTTTTTTTTTTTCTTTCTTTCTTTCGTGAGAGGAAGCGAAATGTTATGTAATCCTATTTATAATTTGATTGAACTTAAACTATTCTGTTTACTATTTGATTGAGTATTTTGATTTATCAGAAGAACAAAAATGATTTATTATGTGTCGCGGAATGTAGGATTTTAATTTTGAGCCCCTTAATTGTCATCTCTCAGATTAAACTGTAGTTCCTTGACCCCAGTTTTGTTTTTTTTATTGTACAGCATGCTACTTACATTCTTTCTTAGCCCTTTTTATTTAATTATAAAAGCAAAAAAAAGTTGTATTCATGAACATTAGGCATAAGGACAATATTTTGTTGATATGATGATGATAGGAGATAGGTCAACATTAAAGTGTTTATACTGTCGTTGGTTATTTTTTGGATGAATCTTTTTTGAAAATAAATAATTCTATCTGATCAATTTGTTCAATTAAAAGTGAAACAACAACAAAAATATGCAAATAAACCGTAACCATTTCTATAATTACAAATTAAAATAGCCTATTAAAAAAATTATTAAAAGAATTGAAATGTAACATAATCATAATTCAAATATTTAATAAAACAATAACTGTTGCTAGTGCAAATAATTCTGTTCAAAATTGGTTGACGAAAATAAGTTTCAAAAAAATAAAACATACTGTGCGTACTAATTAAATGAATTGATAATTCAAAGTGTTAGAAATGTTTGCTGTTCAAAAAGATTAAAAAAAAGTATCGAAAACTGAAATATTAATGTAATGGCTAATATGCAATCGAGAGTTAAGCTTGCTAACAAATATTAAAATTTTTTTATTCGGAAATTTATTTGTTCATTTGTTCATTGACATTCATCTATTTATTTGTTTATTTGTTTACTCATTTAATCATTCGTTTATTTATTTATTTATTTATTTTTTGCTTTTTCTCTTTTCACTATTCCAGCGCGGAAAAGCTTAAGATGACAAGATGAATGATTAGAGGAGGCAATTTTCAGAATTAGTTGAGGAACCGATCACTTTATGCTTGATATGATTAGATATCTACTGATAAGATAAGGAGTCGTATAAGAAGTGGACGACAATAATATTGCTAATAGTTCAATGATGCATTTATTATGTTTATTACGTCAAACGTTTTTTTACGTGAAAATTTCTGAATGTATTCTATACTACAACAATGCAGCGAACAATTTAAGAGAAAATAAAAACGAGAATGACTAGCAGGTGTTCCTAATATTTCACGTTATATTTCACGTTTTACAACGTGTCCATCGTAGTATCACTGCAATAAATTCAAATCTACAAATGATTTAATCTAATCAAATATTATATAATAAAATAACATTATTTTTTTTTCTAAATTAATCAAATTGTAATTTTAAAATTAAAAATTAATCAGATATTAAATTATTAATCAGATGTTAATCAAATGTAAAATTTATTGAATTTAATTTATCACAAATTGTGGCAAAGTC